CGCTGGAAGGGCTGAGAGTAAATAGACGTAGAGAGGGATCGCTGGAAGGGAGGAAGAACACCTCACTGGAAGAGTCGAAGTGCCACCACCGGAAGGGCCAAGGAGGTACTAGTGAAGTGGTTGAAATGGCACTCCTTAATAGGTCAATGGGGTATCCTTAATAGGTCAATGGGGTACTCCTTAATAGGTCAATGGGGTACTCCTTAATAGGTCAATGGGGCACCACTGAAAGGGCTGAAGGGGTCCTATTGGAAGACCCAAAAGACCCCCCATTAGAATGACCTGTGAGGAACCATTGTAAAGACTGAAGGGACACCAGTTGAAGGACCAATGGGGAGTCATTTAAGGGTCGTTTGGAAAAAAGGATGACCGAGAAAGAAAGAGTAAGGAGAAGGATATGACCGAGAAAGAAAGAGTAAGGAGAAGGATAGGGAGAAAGATGGGGAGAAAGAAATGGAGAAGGAGAGACAGAGGGAAAGAGAGACTGAAAAAAAGAGATAAGAGAGTGGGGAGAGATTCTGAGAGACACTAAAACAGAGAGACAGACAAAAATAAGAGAAAGACAGAAAGTGGGTCAAACAGACATGCAGGCAGGAAGGCAAGGAAGCAGGCAGACAGGGACGAAGACAGTGAGAGAGAGGGAGAGGGAATAGGCAAATAAACAACAAACAGACACAGAGAGACACACAGAAGAAAGATAAAAAGAAAAGAAAAAATGATATAACAAAATAGAATAAAATAAATTATATATATATATATATATATATATATATATATATATATATATATATGTATGTATGTATGTATATGTATATCTCGTATGTTGTGCAAGGAACAGTACCTGAGATATGTAACTAAAGAAGAAAAAGAAAAAAATACTTTAGGTAAATGTGTTATGATAGTCACAGTATCTTAAAGAAAAGAATACAATCAACTTCGTTTTAATCTTAAGAATTTCCCTGTCCCTCAGATAATTAGCAAGGATTTTATCTTTATCTTTACTCTCCTTCTTCTTTTCCTTCTCCTTCGTCTCAGTTTTCGTTCCCTGTGTCCAGTGACGGACATCGATAAACAGAAGTGTCTGAGATGATACTGACACATCGATACTTGAAAATTGGCTAAAACAGCAACTCCGATACATGGATTCTTCGTAAATAGTTGAAGTAAATACATAAATAAATTTATTTATTTATTTATTAGATACCGATACCAATGCCTACATCGCCGATACATCATCCACGATACTATAGTGTAAGAAAATACCCCATCTGCTATGTAAATATTTGATTGAGTAAGTTTAGCGCACTGCCAACATATCCCCCTCTGATATGTGAATATTTGATTAGTAAATTTGGCGCACTGCAAACAATGATTACATCAGAAAAAAAAAACGTATTGTAAACTTGTGTATCATACGAGCACGTTCATTTGCAATGTACGTTGTCGAGTAATTTCACTAGAAAGAAAAACGATAATTTCTACTTCGCACTAACAAGAATTATAATTTATAATATAATAATTCGCAGTAACAATAAATATAATTACAACAATAAATATAATTACAACAATTACTCAGTGCATGATTTAAGAGTATTAAGAAGCCGTTCCTTCAAGACAAATGAAAAGACATGATCTCCTACCTCTTTCATACTTCTTGGGCGCCACTGACAGCAGAGTGAGCGAAAGAGAGAGAAAAAGAACACATATTCACACGCACGCACAAACACACACACACACGCACATAAAGAGCGAGGGGGGGGGAGAGAGAGAGAGTGAGTGAGTGAGTAGAGAGAGAGAGTGAGTAAGAGAGAGAGAGGAGAGAGAGAGAGAGTGTTGTGAGAAGAGAGAGAGAGAGAGAGTAATGAAGAGAGAGAAAGATGAAGGAGAGAGAGTAAGAGAGAGAGAGAGAGATGAAGGAAAGAGAGAGAGTAAGAGATATAGAAAGAGAGAGAGAGAGAAGAAGAGATATAGAAAGAGAGAGAGAGAGAGAGAGATGAAGGAGAGAGAGTAAGAGATATAGAAGATGAGAGAGAGAGAGAGAGAGATGAAGGAGAGAAGGGGGAAGGGAAAGAGAGAGAGAGACTGAGATGCCTTTATACATATCTTTGCAGATGAAAGATTTTTGAAATATGAATAAGAAAATACATGAAATATTGAAAAATAAAAACCTAGATAACATTGGCTAATTAGGGTCAAAATAAAAGATATTTCATAATTTGTCTAATGGATGGTAGTTCTACAGATCTTAATCCTGCACTTTGTTGATGATAGATGGGCTTATAGTATACCATAAATAAATGAATAAATATATATGTATATTATATATATATATATTATATATATATATATATATATAATATATATATATATATATATGTGTGTGTGTGTGTGTTGTATCTATGTATGTACATATGTAGACGTATATGTATATATATATATTATATATATATACATATATATACATATATATACATACATATACATATATATATATTCATGCACACACACACACACACACATAATATATAGATAGATAGATAGATAGATAGATAGATAGATAGATAGATAGATAGATAGATAGATAGATAGATAGATAGATAGATAGATATAGATAGATAGATAGATAGATATAAATATTATATATATATATATATGTGTGTGTGTGTGTGTGTGTGTGTGTGTGTGTGTGTGTGTGTGTGTGTGTTGTGTGTGTGTGTGTGTGTGTGTGTGTGTGTGTGTGTGTATGTATGTAAGTATGTATGTATGTATGTATGTATATATGTTATGTATTATATATTTATTATTTATTTATTATATATGTATGTATGTATGTATGTATGTATATATACATAAATATATGCAATCCAAAGCAGACTTGCCATGATGTGTGTTCTCAGAACAAGAAAAGAGCCTTTCGTTGGCGCCATCAACATCCAGTGGACAATGTACGGCATTCGTATATATTCAAATTTCATATAAATGATCTTGCGTTGCATTGTGCATAATGGAGAGAAAATTCAAGTATGAATTTCTTCCTAAAGATTATTTTTATATGTCAGCTTTCGCGGAGTTTGAAAAAAAAAACTTTTTTATTTTTATATTCTTTTTTCTGTAATGAATTCTATGAAGGCTAATCTATTCGCCTTCCCTAAAAATAAGCGACACGTGTTTCTCTTTTAAATTTTAAAACAAAATCACATTTTGAACCGTACTCTAGTTTATTTTCCAAAGCACAAATAAGAAATTGAAATAATGAGGAAGCGAATTATTTTGCAAATCATGAATAACAACTTTAATGATTTCAAATTCGTCATACAAATGTATCGATGTTTTGATTTTTTTCGATACAATTTGAAAAAAATACACGTTAGCGATACCGATAAAACGATACTGTTATTAGCTAAGGCGATACCAATACCAACAGAAAAGTATATGTATCTTTTTTATATATAGTATTTGTATGTGAGTTCAATTCTTTAATTCTTTTTTTTCACTCTGTTCAATTCTCCAATTCATTCTTTTTCCACTCTGTTCAGTTCTTCAATTCGTTCTTTTCCCACTATGTGTCAATTTCCTAATGTTAGTTACATGTTATATATATCTTTATGCAGTTTTACTAGTTATGTAACTTTTTATTCGTATAATTTGCAATTTTATCATATTCATTTTACTATATTTTCGTCACCATTTTTTTTCTTTTTTTTTTTTTTACTCTAATATTTTCAGAGTTCTAATTCTGCCTTCGCGACAGTACCTGCACCAGTAAACTGTCAACAACCTACTATTCTATTTTTATAAGCCTGCAAAATTCTCAGTAATTCGTAATGATATATAAAATTGATAAGAAAAAAAATGATTCCTCAAATACTTGTTTGTGAATTACATTTATTCTCGCGTTCTCTAAGGTTTCCACGCGATGGTGGATTGATCTAAATATGTCTTTTTTTTTCTAAGGCAAGTTAGGAAGTCAGAGATTCACTTATCAGTTTTAGCTCCCATTTACGAGGTTTCATTTTATTACTTATAATCGCTGGTTCTATAAAGTAATTGTTTTTTTTGTTTGTTTGTTTTTTGTACGTTTTCTTGTTTCCTTTTCTCCTCTCTTGTTTCTTGTTTCATTCTTCAATTCTTTTCTTTTCTTTCTCATCTTTTTTTTCCTATCACTTCAATTTTGTTCCTTTATTTTCACCTGATTTTCTCTCATTTCCTCTTTTCTTCTATTCGTTCATTTCATCTCTTCCCTTCTGTTTTATCTTCTCTGCGCTCATGTCTTCTCTTTTCCTCTCATCTCTTCCGTTCCCACGTCTTTTCTCTTATTGCTTTGTGTCTCTTATTTTCCATTTTCCCTGCATTCTCTTCTTTTCGTTCTTTTCTGCCATCTTTATTCTCTCTACCCTGCTTATTCTTGTATTCTAATCCAAACTACATTAAAATTCATACTTAATTGTTCATTTCGTATTTTTTTCTCTTTTTTGGGAAACGAAATTGCCTCAGGGATCCATGCATTAATTCTGATTATATTTGAAAAATATTCATAAATTTCTGTTTTGATATTCCTCTGTTCATATCTATAGTATATGCGGAGGGTTATTTATTATAAATATCTTCAATAGTTTCCGGTCAAATATGGATCTGGTCCGTTTTCTGTTATTCGCTCACTTATTTAGAAAGCATTCTCTTCCGAAATAGAAAAAAACGTAATATCTAATTATTTATACATGAAATCAAGATGAGTAGATTATCATACGATTTTTAATCTTTGTCTAGTAATATTGATATGTTGGTCATTTGTCAGTTATCCAAATAAAGCGTTGATTTAAGGGTAGAGCATTTGCTAATAAACCTGTTAAAATGAGGTAAATCAGTTAAATAATACTTGCTTTAGTTTTTAATTTCTTCCTAATTATTCTAACATCCTAATTTCAATAAGCCAACTGTAGAAATGTTATTTGCAAATAAAAAATAAATCTATTTTTTATTTAACAAATGCAAGTGTTTACATCTCCGTGTGAAAGAAGAAGTGAATCCGAGTTGTTAAGAATCTTTTTGTTTTTTCTCCTCTATGTTCCTTCCCTTTGGTTTAAATGATATCTGCAGTAACTAGCAAGTTGAAGAGCATCTTAGGAGCCAATTCTTATGCGACTGAGAGTCGTAAAAGAACTTTGGAGAGGCAAGTAACGGGAAATCATATCTTACCGGGAAATTTCACTGGGAGAAAAAATAAATCGTTTTGAATTTGTATTTCTGTGTGTGTGGTGTTTTTATGGCATTTCTCTGGTATTTTGACAACTCATATATATTTTACAATTATTTAGTTGTATTGAGTGTATTTAGTTAGTTTTTTAGCGCATGTGTTCGGTTGATTTCCGCGTAGCATAGTTGCATATCAATTATTCGGCTTTATGAACTTTTGCGTTTTGAGTAAACATTAATTTCGTTACTTTTCTCATCTTTTAGATATATTGTGGGTATTAGGCCACTTTTGACATTTAAATTGTCATTGTCTTTTAAGGGCAGTATAGTGAAAGCACTCCGGCAAAGGCCAACAAATAAACACTAAACCTCTACCACACATAATCAGGCATGAAAGAGCATAGACTGGCTCCATAGATGATGATGAAATGGAGGAGCAATTTTTAGTCAGAAAGGGATTGGAGGAGGATGTTTGGCAACCATTTTTGGAGTTCCAGGCATCATTTTATGTGCAACATCAACGTAAATGGCTTTTAGGAAGTGACAACTGGCACGGCAGAAAAGCCCCCAATTGGTTTCTTGCATATGTGTGGTGAAACAAACAAGATGGTGGCATCTTGATATTAGATGATGATACCACTCTCAATTAGGTTCGATTAGTTTAGGTTCATGCTTATTACCTGGAAATAATGTTTATATGTGCATACTTCTATTTGTGCTGTATGCCTAACTGCAAGAAATTTAGATACAGCTACTGTATGTGTAACCACGGCCTTGGTTTTATGATTATCTAATAATTTTTGTTTATAACAACATACCTTTCTTGGCAAGATTAATAAGTTCTGATATAGATTGTTGCAAGAAATATTAATTGATATTCACTTTCATTATTAACTATATGAACTTTCCATGTGCTAATGGTCTGACCCCATCATACTAGCAGAAAACTGCCTTTCCCAAACAAACAAAAAAATAGTAGGAAAGGTTTACAAGAGAACTGCACCTGTCAGAAATTAAATCCCAAACTCCAGCCAACAGTCTTTTGGGATCCCATGGGAACCTTTTATTTTGGTGCGGGATACTGATGAGATTAATAAATGGCAATGACAAAAGCAAAATTAAATGGAAAAATAAAAAAACAAAGCCAAATATTGTAATTTGAATGATAAAGAAAATGGAAAAATGAAGAATCATAATTTAAAAGATATAGAAAGTGGAAAAATAAAAAAAACTCCAGGTAAGAATTGTTCACTGAAGATTCAAATTGGCTTTGTGCCCACAGATGAACAATCAAGCACATTCTAGATGCATGAATTACAACAAAGACCACTGAAAAAATTCTAACCTCACCCAATCACTGTGTTCCCGTAGCCAATTGTCATGTTTCCATAGTAGATTGCTATATTTCCCTAGCCCATCGCTGTGTTTCCATAGCCAATTGTTATGTTTCCCTAGTCGATTGCCATGTTTTTCTAGCTGAGCCCTGTTTTCCTAGCCAATCACCACACTTCCCTAGCTGGGGGCCTTGAAAAACAAAAACCTTCCTAACCCAGGGGTTCTGTCCAGTGACGCCCTCCTGACTGATGTGTTTCCTTAGTCAGTCGCCATATATCCTTAACTGGTGGCGCCATCCCTGGAGCCATCCCAGTCATTATATTTCAACAGCAGGGGGCTCTACACTGGACCCCTCTCGAACATTAATTTTACCATGCTTTAGTGTTGAGCATACAGGTATGCTAAGCAAAGAAGGATTTGTGCAGATGTTTGTTTGTCTCGGAGATGTTCGTCTAAAACATTGCCTGTGCTAAATAGCCCATGAAGTGACATTTCTATCTCTTGTAGCATGAAACCTTTCCCAATGCCTCTCTCCATTTCTGCTCGATGGTGTTTATATGAGCAGCTGTTGTGAGGTCAGCAAAATTTATTGAATGGTTTTGTATTAGGTGATTTAACCCCACACGCTGAAGGCATTTATATGCCTTTCAACAATCACTGTTTAGTGTGGTACCCAATTCAGTCTTTTCTTTGATGATACTGAGAAAATTTTCAGCATCTTAGGAAGTGTCTGAGACAAGAAAAAATTGTCTTGTCTGATGACATACCCCGCCAAAAGCCCACTGCCCCTCTATAATGCAGCCAACATTTTATTTGTGCTTCCCAAATTTGCTTGGCCAGTCACATAGCCCCCCCCCCCTAATCTGTGTTCATATCACACAAGTCCGTAAGAAAAATTATTTTGTATATACAGATGAACAAAAAGAAAGATTATTCAAATTCTAGGTGACTTCTTAAACCAAGTATTTTTTTTAATTGACCTTTAAAATTATCATCAAACGCCTATGGTTCATTGTCGCATCTAAAAAGATTTTTCTTTAGGTCTCTTCAGCAGAGTAGAGCATATTTTTCAGATTATATTGTCTTTAAAATTATACCATGCTCTTTGCACTCATGTATCAGTGAAAACAGTCTGGTAGTATAGATCCTCTATGGCACAAGATCAAGATGGGAATAAATAAAAGAAAACAGTCACTACCATTATAGTCAGGGAGGTTTTAGAAAGGCTCAACTTTGTGTGGAGACAAGACGAGACCCCCCAAAAAATGATAATAAAAATAAAAGTGCTAGTGTTAGAGGACCTCCAAAGCACCATATAAAATCATCTGGACACTATGCAACAAATTCAGTCTATTACAACCTTCATTTAACCTATTAACGCCGGTATATTTTGAAGCTGAAAATAAAAGATTCCGGGCGGCTACAAAATCGGTTGGCAGAGCTGCCCAGGACTCTGTCCGCCCGCCGGCCATGGCCCACTGCTGCGTCAGAGGGTGAGACCCGATACAGTGTCACACTGGCAATGTTTATTTTTGGGGGGATGTCTCATATGTGGGACACCCGTTGTTAGTGGGGTAACTGAAGAGCTGGAATGTCTAAACCAAAAAATAAAAAGATAAAAAATAATAATGAATAAATAAAAAATAAATAGATAAGTAAATAAATTGAAATACACAAAAGATGTGGATAATCTTTTCATTATGGATGCACAAAGCTGAGACAAATTGAAGATGATATTCTTGTAGAGAATAAAAGGTTGCAGTCATCAGTACAAGAAATCATCTGCAGAGACAAATGGTAATGCTACAAATAAATGAAAAAAGGTCGCAGAAAGTGCCATTCACAGCCAAAGTCCGCTAGGTGGCTTTCAGCTCAATCATGCCAAGCAAACTGAGGAGAAGAGCTAAGGGGCAGAGCTCCCCATCAACCTTCCCTTCGGGCAGTGGGTACATCCAGTCGCGGCAATTTTAACTATTGAAAAAAATACATCCATATAGTGAAGAAATACCAAGATGCTGTTTATCTGAAAAGAGCCGGTGGATGAAACATCAAATTGTGAGGTGTTGTGTAAGGGTCTTTCACTCTGACAAAATCCTCATCAGAGGATCCTATTATGAAACAGCTGTCACTGTCCACACAGCTATGCCCCATTCACAGCTGGTTGATAAAAGCAAATAAATTTACTTTTTTGTACTCTGTATGACAAATATCAACTTAGAATTTACTTATGTAATAAAAAAATAATAATAAAAAATAAATAAATAGATAAACAACTTCCTGTTGGTAGCTAGTGTCCTCATTTTCCTTTTGTTTTTACACTATGAGGCACAGTTAACAGTAAGATATGTGAAGCTTTGAGCTTAGCTTTGTTACAAAACTCAATATCCCAGTTTTAGTACAAAATGTTAAGTGGCTCCAGATTGTTTCATAATAGTGGACACATTTCACTTTGAATGTTTCTATTTTTTCAATTAAATCAAAGGCCAGATCAATGAAAAAATCCAATAAAGAATGTGCATAACATAAAATGGACAACTGTCTTCACCTTGTTATGGCTATGCAACAGAGAAATATCTTTCCCCCATTTTTCTCTCATCATTTACCATTTAAATTTTTTTGTCATTCCAAATCTTTATATATCTCTCCCTTTCCGATCCATGTGTATGATTTTCTGTACAACTAGCATGGGAGAAGTGGACCTCTTTCCTGCTCTTGTAATGAAACTGTCATGTATATGAAACATATTAATCATGATCTGCCATATTTCAGTCTTAACCTGTTGGACCAAATTCCAGTCATTAGGTTCACTTGAGTGGTTTGTATGCCAGGCTCCGATGAGCACTCGTGTGTATCAAGACTCTTTCCTTCCATTTGCAATGTGATTATCTCTTTCTTTCTGCAAGCGTTTTTAGCTTCTTTGCATTTTTCTAAGGTCTATATAAGTATCAAGAATGTAATTGATACACTTTTTCATCAAACAGACTCCATATAATTCCTCTAGGTAGTTTACAACTATGTGCAATAACAATAACAATAAGTAATATTTGCTATTCATATCATGATAGCATACTCCTATCACCCAGCTCTCAGCCAAATTGTTTTCATGACACGACAGTCACATTGCCTGGACCCCAAGGGGTTAAGCTATGCAAAGCAACCCATGTAAATAATGCAGATCATAAAGATACCAGATTTTTCTGTTTTTGTCTTTTTTCTTTCATTTTTTCTGTCTTCTTCTTCTTCTTCTTCTTTTCTTCTTCTTCTTCTTCTTCTTCTTCTTCTTCTTCTTCTTCTTCTTCTTCTTCTTCTTCTTCTTCTTCTTCTTCTTCTTCTTCTTCTTCTTCTTAACAGTTTCATAGTATGCATAGGGACCTGCTGAGAATTTCCTTATTTTAAGGATGGGGGTTATGGGGATGGACATTATGCATATGCAATTGGCCAATAGGGTGTACCCTTTCCAGAAGGGTAAGAACAACTGTCCTATGCATATATGTGTAGCTCAGTTTTGTATTATATTAGAAAAAATGGTAGTAGTATAATATACTTTTGATTCTTTGTATATTCTTATGTGAAAGAATTGTATCAGATGTGTAGTTTGTAGAAATAGTTAATGTTCATAAGTACAGGATGTGATTAACCTTGAATTTTTATTTTTCACTCTAATATAGACTCAACTGCAAGACATTATGAAGATTAATTTTTTTCTTGCTTTATTGCAAGACAGCTATGATAGAACTCAATTTTTCTAAATAGTCAATCAGTCATCATTGTAATTAGTTTGATGTTACAGCTAGATATGTAAGTCCACTCTTCATAGTCTTATCACAGTAAAAGGATGGATGGAGTACATTTTAACAGATTTTGAGAATGCAAATGATAATGAATGATTTCAGAAGGTAAGAATTGTTTCCAGTGAAAAATTTACTGCATATTTGAAAAGTGAATCCTTGTTCTTGCTTTCCTGAATCATTGATTCTCATTTATACTCCTCGTAACATTTATCACTGTTACTTTGTTTTTGAGACAAACAGCCCCTCTCAATTAGAAATTAAGACCTCAATCACTCCCTTCCCCCTCACATAGCTAATTCTTCCTAGCTTCTACAGGGTGCTTTATATGCTTGTTGTCAGTATATAAATGGCGCAGAGTTGGTGATTAGTGTCCCGAGTGTCTGGATTTCAGGGTTAGTGGAATGGGTACCAGCACAATCCCTGCAATGAGAGGAATAAGGTGAGACTGCGGTCCCTGCTGGCAGCACCTTTCTAGTTGGTTGTGGTAGAGCTGTAGTTGTGTGAATTTTTCAAGTAATGTATTCAGAGGCTTTGCCTGAGTAATGTGTAGTTTATGCATATGGTGGGGTAAAGTGATGGAGAGAGCGTGAGAGAATGGCAGGCAGAGAATGTGTGTTTGTGTGCACATATACTTGAATGAATGCTTTGTACTCTTTTTTATAGTTGTCTAATAGAAATCAAAGTATGATGTCATTTTAGATAGTTTTTCACACAAGATATTTTTAGTTAATGAATGGTTGTATTATAGATTGTATGTAAGGAATTCTCTCTTTGTCTCAAAAATAAAAGAGAGATTCGGTTACTCATTTCTGTATTCTCTTTCTGTAACATAGTCCAAAGTAAAGAAAATGTTAAGGATCCTGTTACTCTAGCCAGCCTTAAGGAAATTAATGATTTTTGATAATTTTTGCAATAAATTCTGTGAAAATGTTAAGAGTTCAGTGCTGTCCCAAATGTATTTCAAAAATTATTATTCCAAAGGAATAAAATGAAGAAAACAGACTTTGTTAACTTTTTTTTTTTTTTTTTTTTTTTTTTTTTTTTTTCACTTGACCTTATCCTTAGTTACTATAAAAAAAAGTTTTGAAAGCAGTGATTATCTCAAAGAAAGCAGTAGACATATAAAGGTGTATATTTTAAGTATTGGCAAGGGCTAACATTATTTTGGTTGGTTGCTAGTTTTGATATATGCAATCAGTGCATAGGAAAATATATCATACATTACTGTTATCACATTAGGTATATGAAAGAGTTTTTCTGTGTATTTTTGTTATTCATCTTCCATTTAATCATCAGTTCATATCATCATGAGAATGATCAGTACATTATTGTTTTATTCGCATTGAATAGTGATGCATCATCGTTGTGGTATTTGCTAAAGAAGTCTCATCGGAGAGAAAAGAAAATACGGTCAAACCTGCCTTGGGAAATTGATGATTGAAGCAAGCCAAATTTTTTAGCGTGAACTCTAGCACTAGTACATACAGCACTGTAGGGTAGTACTAAGAAGGTAAGGAAAACTCAAATGTTAAAGAATGGGATTGCAAAAAGAGATTCAAGTATTTTTGCTGACGTTTGATAAAGCTACGTTAGATTAGTTGATGTTGCACTTATCAAGTATAAGAAAAACAGAGACGTTCTTAGAGTGGAATGTGTGGGGTATCATAAGTTATTGTTGAGTGCAAACAAAAAATGTAATGATAATGATGACTAATAAAATGTCAAAGATAATGATAATAAGATTTGATAAGATGGACGAGAGAAAACTATTGATCAGATTATGAGAAATGGAAATCACATTTACATGTTATTCTGAGATATCCTAATGGATTTACTTTTGAAGAGTAGAGATTTTTTGTGACACATTGAATATGTATATATAATATATATATATATATATATATATATATATATATATATATATATATATATATATATATATATATATATATATATATATTATATATATATATATATATATATATATAATATATATATATATATATATATATATAATATATATATATATATATATATATATATATATATATATATATATATATATATATATATATATATTTATATATAATATATTATATATATTTATATATATATTTATATATATATATATATATATATATATATATATATATATATATATATATATATATATATATATATATATATATATATATATTATTATATATATATCCATCTATCTGTATATATATGTATATATATATGTATATGTGTTGTGTGTGTTTGTATGTATGTATGTATGTATATAAAACAGTGCTTACTAATTAACATGTTTGTGTTCAACTTACAGCAGTAATGAAGACCAAGAATCCGGAGCCAGCATGGATGAGCCAGTTCGGAAGAAGAGCCGTTCCTATGAACAGGTTGAACATTCTGTGAAGCGATCAGGTAAGACGTTTTCACTTTTTGGTTCACTTGTTTTTAATTCTGCAAGCTGCATTAGGCAGTGTTGGGATGTCCTCATGTTCACACATGTTTTTATTATTGAATGCATTATTATATAATATATATATCCTTATATATATTATATATATATATATATATATATATGTGTATATACATACATACATACATACATACATAATATATATATACTATGTATATATATATATTATATATATATATACATATATATAATATATACCATATACAGTATATATACACATATGTACAGTATATACATACATACATACATACATACATACATACATACATACATACATACATTACATACATATTACAACATACATACATCATAATATATATATATATATATATATATATATATATATATATATATATATATATATATATATATATATATATATATATATTTATATATAAAATACATTTTAAAATATCTACATATATATGTTATGCAATATGGTTATGTTGTACACACATACATATTTCTTTTTCTTTCATTTCTTTCTTTCTTCTTTCTTCTTCTTTCTTTTTCTAAGTTTGTTTGCTTTCTCTAGCTTTGTCTCAGTGTTGTTGTCTTGAATCTTATACTATTGATACTTATTACATTTTAAGTGTATTTATTGCATCATCCATCAAGTTCTACTAAATCCCTCACATATTCCATATTTTGCTGTTTAATCTCGAAAGTAATTCAAGTACAAATGCTTCACAAATGCATTTCCATTACAGACACCTGGTATATAGGGAATTTGCCGAGGATTGTGTCAGTAAAAGCAGCAAGAGTCTATACCTGGATCACATCGTTTGCAACAATTCCAGCCCCTCCAGTGGATGATAGCATTGATAAAATGTTACCTGTGGTACGTTGACCCTAGCTTTTGTTTTGTTTTTCATTTCTTGTTCATCTGACTATAGTATTGTCATGTTTCTCCTCTTGTCTGCTTTATCAGAAGAAGAAAAAAGAAAAAAAAAGTATTGTTTCATTTTTATTATGAACCTCTCTTTTTTTTCTTCTTCTTTTCTCAACAAGAAAAAAAATGCAGTAGAGGAACACAATTGTTTTCATTCTTTCTTTAATTCTTGCAGTTAATATCCAGATTCATCATCAGTTTTTTATTTGGACACCAGGTTAGGTATAAGCTGAAGGAGGATCGCAGGATGAGCGGCGAGGACCTACGTTCAACAAGAGACACAGGGAGAAAGGAGCGAAACCCTGTCGCTTCTGGTATTTTTGCCGAGCCTAGTTCTCCACGGGATGAGGTTGGTTGCAAAAAAAAAAGATTTTGGTTGTACCATTTTATATTTCTTATGGAACCTAATGATATACCTTTGGGGAGTTTTAAGGCATCAGTTGTATATATTTTATTTAGTAATATCTAATTATTAACATTTAATGATTCTAAATTAAATGTTTAACAACTTCAGTTTTTCTATACACATGCACACACAAACAATGAGAAAACATCTTTCTATTTACTGTAGCCCTACTGCAGTTTTGCATTCAGTTAATGTTCTATAATGAAGAATGTAAGGTATTGTATTTTCTATTTATTGAATCGGTGTTGGGTTCTGGCAAAAAGAAAGAAAAAACAGTCCCTTCATTAGTGCAGCTGCTAGAAACATTTACAGATGTCTCAGCAATTTTACAGAGATTTTTCTTTGATTCAGCTGCCATACTTACAATCATTTTCATGTTTCTAGAAATCTTCCAGAAAATTGCATTTGAAAAATATTCCAATGCAAAGTCAGTGATCACTTACACTACATGTATTGTTATCACTTATTTGAAGGAAACGAAAGATCAAATGGCTTACATAGTTTCCTTAAGATAAATATTAATACACTTATTGGTTACTTATATTCTACCAATGACAGTATGTATGTGAAATCACCTTTTTTATGTAGAGAGTCCAAAGTTTACTACTTTTGACAAATCAGTTTATACATTGCGACGCCAGACAGAAAACTTCTGAAGTTCAGGGTTCATAAAAAAAATCAGAGGGAGGCACAGGTCTTATAATGAATTGCATTCTATGCAACAAATGTAGACAAGTATGCACAGTGATGTTTAGACTCAGGCTAACTCTGTAGGAATTAAATCCTTGAATAAGAGATAACAAAATGCAAAAAAAAATCAGAGGGAGGCACAGGTCTTATAATGAATTGCATTCTATGCAACAAATGTAGAAAAGATATGAATGAGAATAAATATCTA